GACGTTCGTTCGTTACAGTGTTGTTTTAGCGCGAGTATTGAGATTAAGAGTATCGCAGAGTTATATTCGGAAAGAATAAACCAGTTTTATTAAGTAAAGACTTGTGTCGTTAAAGTCTCGTCGGAACGAAGTTACGGAAAGTTAATTAACAAACGGAGACGTAACAAATTGGTGTCAGAAGTGGGATAGAAAAAAAAAGAAGAAAAATGGAAACAAGAAAGCGTGAGAATTGTCACGTGATCTCGATGACGCAACAATATTCATGTGTGTAAGATCGCTGTAAAAACAGAACGTTGGCCTACAGTGGTTGCTTAGAAAGCGTGTAGTAAAGTATACATATTCATGTGTGTAAGATCGCTGTAAAAACAGAACGTTGGCCTACAGTGGTTGCTTAGTAAGCCTGTGGTAAAGTACACGTATTCATGTGTGTAATATGTTTGTTGTAACAGACATTTAAATTGTATGATGTAAGAGACACATAATCGTTGTAAAAGCGATAGCTCAGTTCCTTAAATATAGTTTAGATAAATATCGTGTTAATTCACTTTGCTCTGTTTCTTAAGTATGGTTTAAATAAATGTTGTATTATTTCAGCCTGTTCAATTTCTTAAATATGGTTCCGATAAATGTTGTATTGTTTCAGCATGAGTATATAGATGCATATATATATGTATATATACTCTATCATTATCACTATAAACGCCGACCGTCTACAATCAGCACTATCCACACACGCAATTCGGATTTAAACCGTCTACAATCAGCGGTATAAACAGACGCGATTTGGTCACAGATTCCAGCACAGACCGTCTACAACCAGCACTACAAGTATCTGTTATTCGATCCCGGACCGGATCAAGACAGTAATAGTGTACAACGTAGTGTTGTTATATTTACATTGAACTAGCAATTGTTATTAATGATATGAAGAAACATTATAGTAATAATAACGCTGAGTTCATCGAAAATATTGTTAAAGACAACAAAAACCAGTTGTATGGAACTTAACTAATACAACGAATCTTCCTTGAATGAAAATATCTATGTTTAACTGTATATGTGACATGCAGCATCTTCTGGGCCGTGTAGTCGTGAACTGTCGTATACAGAAACAAAATACGCTTACACATGTATGTTATATAAATACATAAGCCTTTCTATAATAAGAACATCAGATAGTAAATTACCATGGAAACTTACAAGTGATGCATTCAGTCTATAATGACTTGTTTTGCTGAAGATTATAAAAAGAGAAATGACATATTTTGAATTCAAATAATATTTTATGTGTATTTCCTAACAACAATATTTAACTGGATCGTAAAAAAGTATATATATTAAGCACATAATTATTATAAATTGAAGTTATGATTTTTTAAACTACGCTCACTAGGCATGGAAAGTGTAGAGAGATATAACAGCATATAAACACTGCAAAACTTATAAACAGACAGCATATAAACAATGCAAAACTTATAAACAGACAGCAATGAATCTCCACTGTTCCTCCAGAAATGGAGTGATAAACATGAGTGAGACAAACAACTGAAGTATGGACTCTTTGAAGATAATGAATAATATTTAATATTCGGTGGTCTTCTATTCTTAGAAAATAAGTAAAACTTTCTCGTCATAAAACTGATTGTCCTTAAATATGTCTTGTCTGTTTGTAAAACGATTGTCTTATAAATCAGAATATTTACCATGAAATCACAGGTGTGATTCATCTAAGTTGAAATCATAACTTTCCAGACTTGCACAAGAATGTAACTTCGGTGTTGTTCTTAATTTAATTTCAAACGTTTTATGTTTGTAATGATACATTAAGGGATAGTTTTATTTAGTTTAAACTGTATGTAGTTTTTGATACAAGATGTGTTTAAAACTATTTTACTATTAAAGTTGAGTTTTCACAGAGTATTTAAAAATAGAAGCTGAAACATCGTTGAGATATTGAATTGTGAATAGTTCAGTTATTTTATTTCTCGGCTTTTATCAGCAAAGGTAAAAATAAATCAGTTTATGGTCGACAAATATTTTTTTTACTCGTGTTGCTTAACTAAAATATCTCTCAGATGCTATGCGAAGCGCCCCCTCATGCAAGTTTGGAGAACGTGTAATACCGTTATAGTTTCTCGTATTCGATAAAGCACAAGTATAAGATAACGAGTTGTTTTAATAACATGTAGAAACCAACTAGTAGTTAGAACGAACAGAGTATTTACTTCGCGTGGAGCTTCTTTTGTACAATGTTTGTCCTCAGATTATCGCTAATATGTCTGATGAATGATTTAGCATCTAAAATTGAATGCTAATAAACAGCCAGTTCTGGATAAGGTGCTGAAAACCAAATTTAGTTAAAAAAATTGGACTTTCAAGAATAAGAAACAACTAATTCAAAAGTAGAAATCGCATGAGGGACGATATAATATGTATCAAAGTTTTTGAAGTTATGATAGCATTTCCGAAGTAGTTTTTCCTCTATTAATTAATCTTGTATTAGCCTCTTTCACACACACACACACAAAGTGATGGAAAATAACAACACGAGTTTACATTAAATGTTTTTGTTTCCATCTTTTGGTGCTTATTTGGAGTTTATA